CGATTTCAGCGCAACATCAACAAGATATGAGGGAGATGCTTACAATAGACGATGTCAAAAACTTTGTTCACACACATGAGCTTACAAAACAGCAACATCCTCGAAACTGGCTCTGCTATTCACCATCCAAACATGTCGTGTTCTGTTTTGCGTGTAAACTCATGACTGACAGCATCGTTTTGGAAAACAAGGTTATAATGACTGGAAACGCGCATCCCAGTCAATTCCACGACATGAGAAAAGTTCAGCGCACCGTAATGCTGTTTTCAGCTACTCCAACGTAGCGATGCTGGCTGCCGTATTGATTCAGAACTGGTCACACAGGCCAGTGATGAGCGTAACTATTGGCGGGCAGTACTTGAGCGGGTAACAGAAACCATCCGTTACCTTTCCGAGCGAAGTTTACCATTTCGCGGCACTGATGAGATCGTTGGATCGCCAAAAAACGGTAACTACCTGGGAACATTAGAACTTATATCGATGTTCGATCCATTTCTAGCGCAACACATCAACCGTAATGCAAATAAGGGAAAGGGTCACACATCCTATCTCTCAAAGACCATTTGCGAGGAATTCATCCAACTGATGGCAACTCGAGTTCGCGAGCAGATTTTACAGAAGTTAAAGCTGCAAAGTATTTCTCCGTCTGTGTAGACTCTACCCCAGATATTTCCCACGTTGATCAACTGACATGCATTCTTCGATACGTTTTACCCTCTGGTCCTGTCGAACGATTTGTATCTTTCCTTAACATACGTGGACATAGCGGAAAATTGCTAGCTGAAAGGCTACTAGATTATTTGAAAACCAATAATATAAATATTTCGGATTGCCGCGGCCAGTCATATGACAATGCAAGCAATATGAGTGGGAAATATAATGGTATGCAGGCCATTATTCAGCAACATTGTAGCCTAGCACAGTACATACCCTGCGTTGCACATTCCCTTAATCTTGTTGGACAATCATCTGCCAGTTGTTGTCAAGAAGCATCAAGATTCTTCAACTTCCTCCAACGATTGTACTCTTTCTTTGCTGCTTCAACGCATCGTTGGAAAGTTTTAACCGACCAACTTTCAAGCAAGAGACTTCCAACGGTTAAACGTATGTCTGATACTCGATGGTCAGCACGTGCAGATGCTACAAAAGCTCTAGTAATAGGATACGAGGAAATTAATGCTGCTTTAGACGAGATCCATGATGATCAAGATGAGAAGCCTGAAGCCAAAAATGAAGCCAATAGTCTTGCGTCTGATATGGCCCAGCTTGAAATTGGAATTCTGACAGCATTATGGCATCAAATGTTGCAACGATTTCAGAGAACAAGTCAGATCCTGCAATTAGCTGATCAAGATCTCAACACTGCTGTTGCATTATATGAATCACTGATTGAGTTTGTCCTTTCGCTGCGAACCAGATTTGAAGAATTTGAAGCCAAAGGAAAGGAGCTCAGTGAATGTGATCAATATAAAGAAGAGATCAAGCGCGTGCGTAAACGAAATCGTCGTAACGACGAGCCAGGATCAGCACCTGATTTGTTGCAGATTCCAGCCGACAATTTTCGCACAGGTACTTTCCTTGTAATAATCGATAGTCTGGATGCTGAGTTGCGAAAACGACTGAGTGCTTACATCAACATTGCTGAAAAGTTTGGCTTTCTGCGAAAGCTTACAGATCTGCCAGCTGAAGACGTGTTGGAAAACGCACAAAGATTGCAAAAAGCATTTTCCACTGACCTCGAAGTCAATTTGGGTGATGAATTGCTCCAGTTTTCTAGCTTTCTCAACACAGAATTCGTGAAAAGAGCATTAGATGCGAGTCATGCGCTGCACCTCATTATTCTTCAGCTCGAATTGGATCTTCTGCTCAGCCTAGTGAAGACCATGACATCGATGTAACATCCGATGATGATGACGACATCAAAGTGAAGGTAGACTCCTAGAACTGCGTATATACAGGTTTCTTGTGGGAAATAACCTGGAAACTGTATTTCCAAACACTGTTATTGTGTTTCGCATTTACCTCAGTATGATGATATCAAATTGTTCTGGTGAACGGTCGTTCTCGAAATTAAAGCTAATAAAGGATCATCTTCGTTCAACCATGACACAGGAACGACTAAATAGCCTTGCTCTTCTGAGTATTGAAAATGATGTTCTGCGTAGTATTGATATGTCATGCCTGATTAATGATTTTGCTCTTATGAAATCCCGTAAGCATAACGCTCCATAACTACAGGGACACTTGTTGATGGTGATATTCAAAGAGTATTTAGGAGTTATTCATGTCAACGTGTTTTGTTGTTGCCCTAAAGATAACAGTTTGAAAGATTTTTCACGATTTATGTAAAGTATTAAATAATTTTAGCTAATAAAATGGTGGTTTTTACAATGTTTTTAACCAGATAATTATTGCAGAATTATGATGAAACAAGTCATAGACATTATAGAGATCAACTTGTTGAATCGGCGCGAAAGATAGAGATATACATATTTCGTAATTTAGTCTGAGGTTTGCCAAATATCAAAGCTACTAGCATATAGTGCAAGAAAAGGATTATGGATCTTTAAAAAATGCCAGACAATCGTGGCACTCAATGCTGCGCATATGGCTGTACAAAACGCAAGAAAAAAATGAATGAGGAAGACGAAGAGCTCAATCGGAGCAGTAACGAAGGGCCATCTGACGACGAAACCTCCATTAAAAGACAGTTTCCACGGACGTTTCATCGCTAAGCTCTTTAACGTTCACATGAATAGCACTGACAAAGTTAATTTTTGGGAGGGCAAAAGGGCAATTACTTAATTATCTTTCTGATCTTAATTACTTTATATGCACACAAATTTACTTAGAATAATTGTAATGAGGGAGGTTGTCCCCACACCTCCCTACAACGGTGTTTATGCATGTAGTGCACTTTTTTCTACATTTGTACTTGATAAACGGTAAAAATAGCCACGATTTTTTTACTTTTTACAAGATTCCCTGCTGATCTTGAAAGAAGAAAGGTATGAATTAAAAATATACACAGAGAACGTTGGACACCTAGCGCGACAAGCAGGCTGTGTTCAGATCACTTTCTGGAAAGCTGTTTTGACAGATCTGAAAAAGTTGTTAAGTTTCGAAAAGATGCTGTTCCAACTCGTTTTAAGCTCTTTCCACAACATATGAAAAAGGTGAATAACAATTAAAGAAATATTTAGGATAATAGTTTTTAGAAACAAAGATTGGAAAAAAAATGATTATTTAAAAGTTGCATAACTATATACATGTAATTGTTCACACTGAGTTGCACACTGTAGCCAAAATTAGTTCTGACTGCTACACGATATGCATGCATCGTACATCAACATGATAAAACCAATAAAGATCAGTTCGACTGTCTGCAAGATCAAAAACTTCACCAACGTATTCAGAAAACATTTAAATCTGTTAGACCACCACGAGGAGAAAGCGACCTCTAATTAGGACTGTCGAGAGTGACGATGACTATCCTCCTGAGAAGACGACAATGCTTGACGACCATGAAATAGAAGAAATGAAGAATATTCATCAGCAAAAGGTTTCAAACCTTAAAAAGAAACTTAAGTCGACCCAACAAAAAGCAAGACGCCTTAACAAAAAAGTTACCTCACTGACGTCAGTTATAAAGCAGCTCAAAGAAAAGAATCTGATTTCCTTGTCTTGCGAAGAAATGCTGGAAAGAAATATAGATGATGGTGATGGTTAAAAAATTATGGTGGGAGTATATTACAGAATTACAAAAGCTCCTAGATAACGAAGGCTTGAGACTTGGAAACAAGTTGAAGGAAGCACATATAAAATGACAAAGGAACACATGCAACAGAACTCTTTGAAGATGTTGGCCACTCGGATGATGCAAGAGAGCTGATGAATGAGTATTGCATAAGAAAAATAGCTGAGGTAATTCTGATATAGCCTTGTGCAGTGGTGAAGCCGAACCCAGTTTTTACTTCGAAAAGAAAATTTATCACCAAATTATTACTCATTTCTTAAACACAAAAATATTTGCACTGTAGGAATAAAAATTAGGCTAGCTGGCAAATAGCGTTTTATTTATGACAGGGGGGCTGCAGTCAAGGTAGTTAGGCTTTATTTGCTAGAAAATTGTGTAAATTAGGTGATTTAAGATTCAAAATATGCCATCCTCCCATTGTATGCCCTTGCTTGCTATTATTGTGGTATTTTTTGTGTCAATTATGCTCTGTTTTTGAACCAGAAGTCTAAGTTTTCATGCACAGGATTTGTTTTGACTAACTGCTAGAATATAGAAATTATCATATCATCCTGTCTTACACATCACCATGACAACTGTAATCTTTTACTAATCAGATGATGTTTATTTTTTAGGAGGATAGAGTGCCTGATTATGTTTTGGTACGAATCTACTTCTTCATTCATTACCCAAATCAGCAAAAGCTCAGTATAAAAACAAGCAGTAGTCTCACTCCACTGTGCCACTTTGTGCTGTATATTCAAATTAGATTACTGGCTGCCACTAGTCACCAAAGTGCTCCTATTGATAAGGAAATACAATTGACTGGCTGCCATTATGCTAATCTCGTGCATAATAAGATATGTGCTACTCAAAAAATTTCTATAGAGTGGGACTACTGTTTGTTTATACACTGTGGCAAAAGTAAAATTGATGCTTGAATTTATATGTAATATTGAAATATTAGACATTTGAAATCAGCTTGCATAGGGAGTGTGCCAGAGAATGGTGTGCTACTGACATATTTGTCTTTGTACATCATCCATGCTTGTGGGTCCTGAGAATGACTGCTGAACACACTAATTGTCCTTCTTAGGACTCCACTAACTTGGACAGTCAATACCTAGAAACATGAATTAATACTTCAGTGTTCAAACCATTTACTTAATATGTGATATTAAAAGAACATCCATATTGTAATATTGTTATTTTTAGTTTTTAAGCAAATTAACTCATGTAAGCTTTCATAATCTCTCATTTCAAGGAGGAGCCAGAGAGAGAAACAAAAAAGAGTGCTTTAAGGTAGGCCGAAATAATGGTCAAATATTAACCAGAGGGAATGTGTTGAAGGTGGATACTGGACAGTATGTTATTTGAAAATAGTTCTAAAGATAGAAAATACCATAGTGAATGGTAAAAGTAATATAATAAGTTGATAGTTCTTAGAAGAACTGTTGTAAGTAAAGAGCACTAACCCAATAGTTCTAAATTAAATGCATCATTTTGTTTAATTTAGAACTATTGGGTTAGTGCTCTTTACTTAAAACAGTTCTTTTAAAAACTATCAACTTATTATATTACTTTTACCATTCACTATGGTACTTTCTATCTTTAGAACTATTTTCAGATTTCTCACCACGACAAAGTCTCTATTTTAGTATGTTATTTTTGAGAGGGGTTAGTCTTATTGACATTCAAGGTTCACCATCTGGGCAGTAGAAGGTGATAACGAGGAGTATACAGTACTAACATTGGGTAGTAAACAGTTATAACTTGGAGATGCATGGCATTGGCGTGGGATGTAGGCAGTATCAGTCTTAACATCTTAACATGGCAGGGGGCTCATTGCATTACCATGGGAATTAGAAAGGATAATCATAGGGACCAATTGCCAAAGTAAACATGAAAAATGAATTGTTTATATTCATGTGATAAATTGTTTTTGATATTTTATAGTGCATTGTCTTGGTTGATACCTACAGCAATCAGCATTGGAATTGTTGTTGTGGCAGCATATAAATCTTCAACAAGTTAAGACTTTGAGGCGTAGGCAATGATTTTTTAACCGTATCACATTGTAAATCAAAAAGAAAAAATAGTGAATCTTTATGCAAATTTAAGTATTTTTAGTTTGTGTTGAAATGAAAAGGGTTGAATGTGTGTTCTGTTGGCATTCAGGGGGCAGGGGATTATTTTTAGGTGCATTCGGGAGCTGTGGGTAAGGCATAACTTCCCATGTCAAGAACTTCCATAGGTCTTTACTTCCCAGGTCAAAAATTCTAGGATTTATGATTTCTCTTGTCCAAATATCCCATGGGTCTTACATTCCCAGAACAAAAATCCCATGAGTTAACTCAGGTCAAAAAAGCCCTGTGGGTCATAACTTCTCCGATCAAAATAATCCCTGGCGTGATAACCGCCCAGGTCAAACATCCTATAGGTCATTAATTCCCAGGTCAAAAATTTCATGGGTCTTTTCTCTGTTCAGTCACATGTTCGTTGATGAAAACGACCGTTAATGTGAAAGCTTTTGTTCATCATTTTTCGACTTGAAAATTAGTCATTGGTTGAATAAGGATTCAAATTATGTGTGCACGATAAACTTAATGTCTGTTGACAATGCAAAGCTGACTTTAAGAATATTTCGTCTGATTACACAACAATTAACGATGACGTCTGTATATTTTCAACAAACCATCCCGCCTTACATAGCGCTTTTGCCTATGCACCATGGGCCGGAGAGCGATACTTCTTTTATATAATTTGAATTTAAAGTGGCGATATACTCTTATTAGTTTTTAATTTATTCGGGGTTTTAGTTAACTTTTCAAATGGCGGTTGCCAAGTACTTTCTAATGTTGCCAACTACATTTCCAAACGTGGAATATTCGATATGAACTTGTCAACTTGCTTACTGAACGGATTCACTGCCAAATGTCTACAAGGTACAAAGACCTTTCACGTTTGTTAGTACTTCGCAACTTTAGTTCACATCTTCAGTACTCAAGTACACAACTTCATCACTCAAGTACAACACAACTTGTCAACTCAAGTTGACAAGTTCATATCGAATATTCCACGTTTGGAAATGTAGTTGGCAACATTAGAAAGTAACTTGGCAACCGCCATTTGAAAATTTAACTGAAATCGACAATAACGAATATGGCGATGATTTTTGTTAACGGGAATATATTGGCCAAACACGAAATCGTCATCGTCGATGGGAGGGGGAGAGGGTAGGAGGGTGTAAGGTAGGTGTAGTAGCTCCTCCCGTGAACACGTGTTTTGTTGGACATTTTCAAGAGGGCAAACCATATAAAACGCAATATTCAATAAACGTAGAATTTGTGTTTTAATTAGAAAGAATAGAAGTGTCAAACTTCCTTTTTTAGTTATGTAACAACTTTTTAAACAGTTAAATATTTAATGAACCGGCAATGTCTCCGTGGCAACGTTGATTTGATTGGTTGCTCTATGGCCGTTGATGGGCTAGACGAAGGTGTGCGAAAATATTTGGCCAGAACTGTCAAATTTTGTTTGAACGTAGATATTTCGAAACATAACTGCTATAATTGTTAGTTTCTGTTGATTCCTGTAAAACGTTATCGATGGAACAAGGTGTGTATGGTTTTTATTTGTGACGATCTGTTCGTCACTTTGTGTAGAATTAATGTACAACTCTTTTTGTTATCTAACTAAAAATCTATTCGTGAATTCGGCTCTTGTTTGTTGTCTTCATTTTGTTTTGCTGTCGTTTGTGTTAAGGAACTTTCTCTGTTGAAAACAGTCCACCACTTCAACCTTACTAAATTACTCATAGTTTCGGTAGGCTTAAATAGTTTAGTGGAAATTCGCGTGCCTTTAATATTTTTAATATCGCCGAAGTCACCACAAACAACGTGGCAGAATTTTGTTTTTTGGGCTCAATATTATGCAAATCTTATCTCTATTTCTACCTTGGTTTTCGTTCAGTATTGAGAATAATCAGTTACGTTTCAAGTATTTTGCTACCACAGAACAGCCTCTTACCATTGATGAAGTCAGCCTGAACTTTTACCACTACAATGCAAATTTTACAGCAAAATTGGCATTCATTTCTTTAAAATATTGATTTCATTCATTTTTCTTCCTGCAGTGAATGAAAACAGAAATGTTTGCACAGGAGAAGCCAAAAAACTGCCACTTTCTACTGATTTTTCGGGAAAACACACTTTTTCATGGGCTTGCCCATATTAGTTTTGTTGATGAATATTTAAGCGTGAGCAATTGAGTTTATTCGAAAATAAATCAATGACGTCATGTTCTTTTTTGTGTACGTAGTATGTAGAATCAGTACGTGTGAGCCAAGAGATTGGGAAATCCCAGTGTCGTATACAGCACAGAACACGTTTAATCCTATAAGAAATGTTGTGGAGACAATGCACATCGAGGAAAATCCTCAATTGGAGGTGATTAGTCTCACTGTTGGTAAGTAGTTTTCAGATTTTCTTTCGTAGTGGCAACATTCGAAGTAAGCGGTTTAAATCAGAGCTAATGTCAAATTAGCGATTTCTGTGTTCGCTCAGTGGCAGACTTATCTCCAGCGTCATCAACAACCGAGAATGCCGTCCAGGCGACTTCAAAATTCTTTTGGATGATTGTATTTTCTTAACAAATAAGAAACTTCGTTGGATTTCAAATAACGTTTCATTCTATTTATTGCCCTTGTTTAAATTGTTGCCGTTTTTGAAATAATTACAAAACCCGTCAAGTCTCTTGATGACGGTATCTATAATGGATAATATTTTTTCCAAAGTTTCTAAACATAGTCGTACGTGATGGGAAGGGGAGAACGTGCCCTCAAAGAAAGTTTGGAGACTAAAAAGTTGGGCAACTTTTTAACGGTAGTCGGGCTAAAATACTGTGGAACCTTCATTGTGGGTTGGAGAAAGTTTACTGCCCTCACAGAAGAGGTAGCTTCTGTACGCCTGTGTTTCTAAATCTACGTGTGACAGCTATGTCTTTAGATGACGGTATCTAATGGACGATATTTTTCTAAAGTGTGAAAAAACCTTTTGAAAAAGAAACTAATATTTAATCTTGGACAATTATTTCAAAGATGACGAAGTTTCATTACTAAATTAAATGGTTTGAACACAGGAATGTCTTTTGATGTTTGTGAACCTGACTCAAAAGATGACTACTGCTAAGGGTGTCGTAACGTCAGTAAACATCAACATTAACAGTCCTTCACACGACTTCACTAGCACTGAGGTTTCGAAACGTCAGTCAACATAAACATCAACAGTTCTCCTCAGGACTCTACTATCCTGGACGATCTACATCTACAAACATGTGAAGTTTCATTAGCATTATCTGGGTTCGGTGCAACCTCCTCACCTTCGGAGCCAACTTGTATGAAACTAACCTTCCAAAAACCTTGCATGACTGACTATTTTTATATTCCAGGTGATCCCACAGTTTTTGGTAACCTACCACCAAATGAAGAATGTGTTCGGGCGCTCTGTTACGCAATAAAGTCAGGAAAAACAACGGCTACAAGCCAGCTCATGGTTAGTTACACCGACAGTTTTCATAAATAACCCTAATCTAACCCCACGGAAATTTGTGTTCAAAAATATCAATTAACGAAATTGGATTCTAAAGAGAATCTTCTAACTAAACAATAGTTTTTCCAAAATCTAAAGCTAATTCTTTTTTAAAATGATAACAATTGTTAGACTTTGTTTTAACTTTTCGGAACAAATAAGTCCATTTAAAGAACGCTTTTCAAAAGATTGATTTTCTTCGTAATACAAAGGGTGTATAAAATCCTTCAACATTTTGAAATGAGAAAATATGCCAGTTCTTCGACGATGCCTTTGAAATGAATTCAATCAAAATCACAAGATTTTACAACTTGCACGATTCAGCTGTAATTCATACCCTAGGAGGCTGAAAGGAAGTTAAAGGAATTTCATTTTCTGGATTTGCATTGGATATAGGATGGAATTTTTTTTACACAACCTGTGTGTGTTCTACTATTCCAGTCATATACTCATCTGTATTTGTTTTTGTAGGATGCAAAGAGGCACGAAATGCCGTTGCAAAATACAGTTCAACACCTGAATACATCGTGGATGCTGAGGTACATATTCCTGCTCCATAACTATAAGGACACTTGTTGATAGTGATATTCAAAGATTATTTAGGATTTATTCATGTCAACATGTTTTGTTGTTGTCCTAAAGCCATCGTCTATAATTTTACTTAAAGCTGCTTAACTCTGAAAAAAACGAACCTTTATTGATGTCTATGTCAGCATAAAGGACTCTCTCTTTATGTAGACAGAGAAAGCTGACTTTTTATCGTCTTCCCCCTTCTGCCCTCCCCAAGTTTTGGCATCCCACTAAATTCCATCAAAATACAACTCGTTGACAATGGTTAAGCAAAATATAGTTGTTTGCTTGCGTTTTATCTCATTAAATCATTTGCAATGAATATTATTCTTGAAAAACCGTTTTTAGTTTACACAGGGTTTCATTGAGCATTAAACGCCCTAGTTGCTCGTGGTGATAACATCCTAATTCCAAGACCTGGTTTCTCTCTTTACAAATGCATCTGTGGATCAAGGGGGATTGAAGCACGATCTTATAAGCTCTTTGTAAGTTTGTACAAATTAAAGATATTACGTTTACGTTATTGCTTACGACTAAAGATTGTTTTTATTGTGTGCTAATTATGATAATGAAGATTAAAAACTGTTCTAATTGTATTCTATTTGTGATACACTGGAGATTAAAGACTGTTCTAATTATATACTCAACTGAAATCAAATATTGAATAGTTCGAAGGATTCCCTTAAAACTAACCTCGAGTCTTGCTTTCGACTTCATGTTCAAATGAATAATGATTATTCATAATTTTCAGCCTGAAAATGGTTGGGAAGTCGACTTGGACGATATGGCTTCACTTATTGACGAGAGAACAAAGCTTATTGTCGTTGTCAACACATCAAATCCCTGTGGTTCTGTGTACAAAAGAAAACATTTGGAAATAATTTTAAACAGTAAATATCTCAAGACATGTACAAGTTTTTTCTGCCGATTTGACCAACAAACTTCGTGCATTCATATTGGTCTTATTTTCTAACAGTTGCTGAAAAATACCGCGTCCCAGTTCTCTGTGATGAAGTTTACGCGCATGTCGTAAGTGTTTGTTAATTGCATGTCACGTGAAGACTTGTAAATACGTCCATGTTTCAACTAATGTAAGGTCATCACGATTGTAATATTCGCTTAGACATGAACGCTTCAAAATAATTGTGCATCTCAAAGTTGGGTAAAATTAAACTGAATGAAATGGGCGTGCAGCCCTGCGGGTTGTACGATTCATGACAAGGTTGCATAGCAAAATATTTGTAAACTCCAATGACCTAGAATTCAATATACATACTAGTTGTCTGACTTGGTCGAAATTTAAAAAACGAGTGAGACAAGCCGCCATTTTAAAAGGTGGGAAACTTGAGGATGTTTATATTACGACTAATATCTGCTTTTCCTGAGTTGATATAGAGTTGAAACGCTGATTTAGTCTAGATTTTATTTTTAAGTGTTTGTTACGACTGGTTGTTAAGACATCTTTCAAGATGGTGTCCTTGCCTCACGTCGACACGGTTGTTAGACATGCAGGGGGTTGGGTTCTAAATTTTATTGATACTACCCGAGAAGGTGATCAGGCTTGGCAACACTGAATAAGGCTTGAACTAAATTAACTTTTTCTCTTATTTCCTGCAGACATTCGGCAAAGAGCCTTTCCATAGCATGGGAAGTTTAACAAAGAATGTTCCTGTTCTAGTTGTCGGTGGCATCGCCAAAAGGTGAGCATGCGCATTTCTATTGCATTACGTCATTTTGAGGAAACCATATAAACGTTGTGTGTCAATGACAGGTTCTTGGTGCCAGGCTGGCGTATCGGATGGATTGTAATTCACGACAGAAATGATTCCTTTGGTTTTAAGGTATGAATATATCGCTTGTAGTTATGGACTAGGCTCCATTAATACCATCAAGAATTTATATCTTTGCTTTGCTTTGGCTGTTTAAAGTCGAAGTTGAAAGAAAACGTTTTTTCTGTATTCCTTAAAATCAACGGTACAATCATTGTTTTTCATTGTCATGTTAATCGCCATCGTATTGAGATAGTTATGACTCCAGATCAATAGCTAAGTCATCCTGTTTTTACTCCAACGCAAAAATTTTTGTGTTTATCTCCCGGAAAAAAATGGGACAAAATAAATTTTCTAAAGATATGAACTACAGTCAAAGCTGTATAAAGCGGCCCTGCATTTAGCGGCCCTGTAGCTGTATAAAGCGGCCCTGCATTTAGCGGCCCTGTATTAAACAGACACTTTGTAAAGTCCAGAATCATGTATAATTCGTAGGAATGAAGCCTCTATTGAGCAGACGCGGACACAAAAATTGTCTAATAACACAAAAACCTGTGTTTAACGAACAATTTTTCAAAATATTTCATGTTATCTACAGACATAATGTTAGTCACAAACATACTGTCTTAACAACTACGAAGACATTTTTCATAATGCAAGTGCATTGAAGATTAAATACTTATATCAAACATCAAATTGTTTACCAATTATTTTTAAACATAACTTTTCTATGTCAAATGTAGCTTGTCGTTGTCTAAAAAAGATGACATTACAGCAAAATCTTCGTTCAGCCACTTATTATTTACTGAATATTACTAAATATTACCGAAAATATTTCTCAGTTTCGTTATTATTAACTGAAGTCATTTCTAAATATATCTGCTCCGTTTAATTGTTGATTTTACCATTTATGTTATTTTTAACGGAGAGAGGGCTGGTGACAAGTATCTCTGTTAAACGGACACCTCCATTAAGCGGACGCTAGTTCGTTCGCCAAGGCTGTCCGCTTAATACAAGTTTGACTGTATAATTTTCTTAAAAAAATAGAATTGCAGAAGTAAAAGTTAAGGTCTTGCTTCGCCATTACTCCAAATGTTCAGGGAGAATAAACATTTTAGAGAAACACATTTACCTCAACTTCAAAAGATGGCTGTTGGTGATTGATGTTAAGAGTGCAATAATTGCAAAATACTTAATTATTTTTTTAACTGTGTTTTAGATAAGACAAGCCTTACGACGTCTTTGTCAGGTTATTGTTGGTCCATGTTCGGTGATACGGGCTGCACTACCGACGATTCTTTCTGATTGTCCGACTCAGTTCTTTGAAAAAACACTCAATCTTATGAAGGTAAAGTACTTAATTTTCAAGAACAATGGCGGACTTCTTGGTTGGGGTCCTTCAAATATAAGTTAAACAACTTCAGGTCCGTCAATGTATATAGAACTTAACCAACTCATCACTGATTAAAAATTTAAAACCAAGAATTTCGTCACATTTTATCATTATGTCATTTAGAAAACATCAAATATATTCTACGAAAGTCTTTCATTGCTGCCAGAACTTTATCCAGTCCGCTCACAAGGTGCTATGTATATGTTGGTAAGAGAAACTTGTCAATTTTCTTTTTGCTCGTTCATAATCTTAATCATAATCTCTTTAAAACGTGTCGGTTTTATTTTAGATCGGTATCAAAGTTGATAGGTTACACAACGTGAAAGATGATGTTGATTTTACACAGAAATTGATGGCCGAACAATCAGTTTTGTTTTGCCAGCAACGGTAAGTTCCTCACTGTCGTTCAACCATGCATATATCCATGTTACTTCATCTTATTTTCATTTGAGACATGTATGTCGTTATACTTATCAAGTAGACATTTATTTAACTGAAGTGAATAGTTAGGTACACCTAAGTCGATAGTTTTGTACAGTCAGGTATAGCCAAGTGGATAGTTAGGTACACCCATGTACATAATAGGGCACTATCCTTTATCGATATTTAGGTACACATGACATTTGTCCGTAACACTTTGATGCAAATCCAGAAAAATTTCGATTCGTATTATGTCTTTGAGCGTCTTTTTATTTTTGCCAAGTTTGGACGAATTTTGTTTGGTTCTTGTTTCTTTGCATGGCTGTTATTATGTCTCTACTTTACTGCTCTTAAAGATGACAAGAAGGTTGTTGAAGTGTGCATAAAAAATCCAACAAACAAGTCTGGTCCTTGCCCGCTACGTTTTAGATCATTATCATTATTCATTTCGTTACAGTGTAGACTTCTTTTGTTATTTTGGCCAGCGCAGAAACAGTTGCATAGTAGAGAAAATTAATCAAAGTATTTTTCTTATTTTCTTCTGTGCAGTGTTTTCAATGCCCCAACTTTTTTCGCGTTGTCCTCACATGTCCCGTGGAAGTCGCGCGAGTCGCTTGCAAGAGGATCGCGCAGTTTTGTCGTGATCATCAAAAGAACGCTTTGACCAATGGACACATGGAACATGGGAATGGGATTCATCACGTCAACGGTTATTGATATTTCAAAAATAATATCATAGAACTTGTAAAAACTCAAAAAAATATGGCGATGGCGGCTTCTGTATGTTCTTAGTCTGTGCCAAATCAAAAATGGCGGCAAGTTTAGCGTTCTAGTTTCTGTCACAAACATGGACGCTACTTGAGGCCAATAATTGAAAACAAATCTTACCCCAGACATGCAAGATTTCACCCCAGACATGCGTGTTTAGTATTTCGAGATTCTCTAGCGGAGAGAAAAGTGATTGACTACATACACACGCTTGTTTGGGTTATAATCATGGCTTTAAAAAATTATTAGAGTTTTGTATTACAGTTAGCGTTCTCATGTAATTTCAGTTCAATAGTCACAGCTGTCCTTCTCAATCCCATGCTACCACTCCTTTTGCTCACACTTGTAATCCAGGAAACAGGGATTGTTTTTTAAGGTTTTTCTAGAATGCTAAAAGTATATTTATTATATTAATCAATGTAGTTGTGAATATTTGTGTATATCTTTTATTAATGGTGGTCTTGGTAATATTATAAGGCCACAAAAGATTTGCTTTGTTTTGTTTTTTACTCTAGTTTACCGTTTCTTGAGAAAAATCCCTTTTTTATTGATTTTGTTGTGATTTTATGTCCGGTGTTTTCATACCTGAAACGGTATTTTTTTCCAAAATCGATCTAATTTTCGCATCATTTGAAAGTGACGAAAAGCGTAAAGATGGTAAATTACACACTTATATCAGTGCTGCTACACCGTGTATGTACATTTTCTCTAACAAAACTTTATTTTCCCCCTACCTCCCCCTACGACCATTTTCGTGTTTTCCCCTACTTACCCCTACACAACAACATATTCCCCTATTATATACCTATGTCGGGTCAGACCACTGAATTTTTTAGTCTGTTTGTAAAAAGGTGAATGCAATAAAAATTGAAAAACATCTGGACTACAAAGTTAGTAATTTGGCGTAAGACGTTGTGACGTAATGACAAGCAAGTTACGGAAATGACACATTCTGTTTATGCCAAATTTCTAATCTTGTATTGCCATATATAGTCAGAAAATGTTGCAACAGAAAGTTTATGCTACAATCACTCTTTAAATAGTGACAACACAGGTAGCAAAGAGTATTTCGGGCAAAAATGAGAATAGACATTCTCATTTATAAACGACTTTCTTTTCTCCCTACAATCCCCTACATTTTACAGTTTTCCCCGTAGGTTTCACCTACCACCTACAAACCACTAAGTCCCCCTACTGTAGGCGATTTCCCCTACGAGTGGCAGCACTGACTTAAACGCAGTGGTTTCATGCTCACGTGTTTCTTCGTTTCGTGACTTCCGCGCGAGGAAGGATTTTAGAAAGAATTTTATTGGCTCATGGCGTTGGTCACACGCAGGAATTTCGCCTTAAAACATTGTCATATTCATTACAAGCGCTTTAAACCGAAACAAGAAACGAAGAGTAAATACATGTTTCTTCATTTCTTATCATTTTGTTGAAACAGAGAACATTAAAAGAAGCCTGCTTTTGGGGAACGACTTTAGACGCAAGCCATCTATATAAATACAAGAAAATAAGATTTAAACAAAGGTTAGTGAAATCTTTTCGCATTTTTAATTCTTGTGTCGTCATACAAACCTTTCATCAATAAAATAGATTCCCTGTTCACCATACCAAAAAACCAACATTACTAAGAAAAAATGTAGTTAACTAAGAATATACTAACAGTTTTAGATAAATTTTGACGGGAACTTGTCTTATAAGAAACTTGTGAATCTAGATTGAGCCTAATTACTCCCACACACTTGGTCAGCCTAAATTGTCGTTTCTTTTCCTTTTACACATTCATGATATTTTATAAGATCATCATTGCTTTATTTTAACCACATTTTGTAGACATTGAAAATCTTTTCATGCATTCAAGTATCAATGATTTATACAATTTACACTGTCTGATTTCATTTCCTTAAAAGTTTAAGTATGTTTAGTATGCTCGCGTGACCAAAACAAATATATATTTTATGATGCAAATATTGCATAAATATACTCATCGTAAACCTGCTCATCAGACAACTCTACGAGATGCTTTAGTATGTCTGGTACACTTTATAAAATGTTGATTAGAAATCGCTATTTTCGTCGTTTTTATAATCTTCAAGTTCTTTTCATTAAGAGATTTTCATTTGTGGTGAATACATTGCACATAGTTGAAATATTCACAACAATAACTCGACTTTAGCATCGACATTTGAAGTATGTTTACATTATACACATATAATTAAAAAATATCTATAACAATCTTTAGCATAATTCAATTTGTTCACGCTATATTTTCATTGAAAATACTAAGCCCGCTCAGAACTCGGTTTCCGATGAATGAAATGCGGTAATATATATGTATTTTTTAGTTTTTACTGTTTTATCTTCATTGTTAACTTTTTACATATGAGAAATAACATAATATACAGCTAAAACAACAAGAAATTATGTACCTCCAGCGGTTGTTTGAATTTTAAATATTTCTTCAGAAATTCACATTTTTGTCAATATGTCGCAATTTCTATGTCATTGTATCATATGATATATAAATAATGGCATTCCAGATTTGAGATGTACTGAATACCCAACCAAGGTCAGTCGAATAAACAAAGCTCCATTCTAAAAGCACACTCGCTGAGTGGGACTTGAAAATCATCTCATGACTATTCCAAGACAATATTTTCACTCCACTACTTGATTTAAAATATTTTAGCAAAAATCTTACCGTCGATAAACGAGTCTGCCGTTGATACGTAAGAGCACAATTTCTGATTCACACTCGATGAGCACGTATGAGTGAGAAACCTCCCCCCTCACTTTCAACCTTCTTTGGACTAATTTGTGTCATTAGTTCCTCCATGCATTCGGTTGAATTCTCGTTTCTCTTCCTAAGACGTTCTTATGCCGTTCTTCTATTGTCACCACTCACCAGAAGGACAAAAAGTAATAAAAATAGCAAGGCAAAGGACTGATGTCACAAATACATTGATGTTTATTTTAAATGCAAGTTTTACATGAAAATTTGTACGCAAAAAGATTCCTTTCAATAGAGACATTTTTGGTATATTTGGTATGTTCTTCTCCCCTTCTACCCACGCACGCCTTCACATTTTGGCAATATGCATACAAACGAATTAGTAAAGAAAATAAGGTTACATCCAACGAATACTTTAAAATTTGAATGATGTGTTATGGAAGTTTAAATATGTAAGAGTCTGTCGTGGTCTTTTCTAGAATACTGCTTTAGTAAAAGTGACTAATTAATAGCTCACACAGTGAATTAAATTGAACTTATTGCACATTCTTAGACGCAGCATGAACATTCAAATTTTTGGTGATAGTTTTAATTATGTTACCGTCTGACTGAGAAAGCTATTTTAAGGTTTTTGTATATCGTAATATGCTAGTTTGGAAATTTTCGCACCGTATGATTTTGTTTTTAAAAAACCGATGACCATCTATCTTGTAAAAATTTACTATTTTTTTTAAAAAAAGGCTGTCAAAAATGAGTACGGCAAGGTTAGTACCCAGTCCATTATGAAGTTCAATAGACCACAATCCTCTGTCTTTTTTCGCACTTTTTTAGTCATACTAAAAATTAGCTAATGCATGGCCATAATTTTTCTACTGCCAGGCAATTTTGATCACAATTTGGTAATGCTGTAAAATACAAAAACCGATTCCTTCAAAAAAACACTATCCAAAACAAGTGCTCATTTTCTTTCTTTAGAAAAAGCCAAGTTTATTACTTAGCCATATTAATTAGCTATGTCGAGAGTTTATATCCTTTTTTAACTTACTTAGTCACGTGTTTCTTCCTTTCGTGACCCCGCGCGTGGAAGAAGTATAGAAGAGATTTTATTCGTTCTTGGACTAGGCGTTGCTCATTATCATACGTGTTAATTTCGCTAATTTGCTTAAAACCGTTTTCCGCTGTCGTACTCATTTCAATGATTCAATCTGTGATTGCAAAGAAGAGCGAATTCGAGTGTTTTCAGTTTTCATTATTTCTATTACAACAAGAAGATTGAAAGAGGTCTGTGTTTGGCGAGCAACTTCAGACACCAATAATCCATAAATACAAAGACAAACAGATATTTGAGGAAGGTGAATAAAATAATTTCTTATGACTTAATTCTTATGTCGTCATATAAATTTTCAATCAATAATATAGATTCGCTATTTTTCCTTATTGTGAAAAACCAACTTTATAAAGACAAAACGCAATGTAACAAGTATATACTAAAGCAAATTTGTGATACGAAATTGTCTTTAGTTGAGCAATTTTTAATTACTTAACGCATTTGGTCAGAGCAAATTGTTGTTTCTCTTCCTTATTCGTTCATTATGACTTTATTTTATTAACATTATTAGTTTAAAGTGAATGGTTTGAACCCAGAAGTATCGTCGCATGTTCGTAGATGTAGATTGTCCAGGTTAATAGAGTCCTGAGAAAGACTGCTGGTGTTGATGTTGAATGACGTTTCGACAACCTTAGCGGTAGTCATCTTCAGATCGAGTCAAGTGAGGAGTCAGGTTAGCGGTATTCGTTGTTAAATGAGAATATAATCTTCGCACTTTGCTGGACAATTTAAGCAATTGTCTCATGAACCTGAAAAATTAAGGTGACTCAACGGGATCGATTGCTTAAATTGTCCAGCAAAGTGCGAAGATCATATCTTCATTTAATTTCAAACACCGCACTGCATAAAACATTCATACGACATTCCTTTCACGAGAAAACATGAGCCCAACAATATTGACCTGCTCACCACTGTGTGACTTCATAGCTCAGTGTTCAGAGCACTGCACCGGCACCGCCGAGGTCATGGGTTCGAATCCCGTTGAGTCACCTGATTTTTTCAGGTTCATGAGGCAATTGCTTAAATTGTAGAGCAAAGTGCGAAGATCATATCTTCATTTAATTTCAAACACCGCACTGCATAAAACATTCTTTCATACGAGATTTGTTGTCTTGTTCATACGTCATCCTATTGTCTGTAAAGGAAATTTGTAAGTGTCAATTGTGTATTGTCATCATGGAAGTAATGTTTGAGGTTGTGAATAAGTTGCTTTCGTAAAGTGCCGGTAAATGTTGTGATCTTTTCAATGGATTTGTTCTAAGTTGGTATACCAACTTTCTAACGTAAGTCGTTGTCGGTAGTTTGTGCTGTAAGTAATGCATGTTGCCAATCTTTGTTCCTCGTTTGTGTTCAGTAAGTCTTATGTTTAAGTTCCTGTCAGTCACACCAATGTAGAAGACGTGGCAGTCGGTGTAGTTTATACTTTCAATTGCACTTTATCGCTTGTTTGATTGTTCTTTATCTTTGACGTTTGTTAGTGAATAGTTTATGTGCGACACGTATGTTGTGTGGTCGTAAAGATACGCGCGATAGTCTCAGACGTATCTTTGACTATAAATAGTGCACTATAAATATCGTCTATTCTTTGTAAAACCTTACTGCAGAGATAGATCTAAGATAATTTTGTAGAAATGGTGCTCTAGTTTTTATAAGATCTCGTTCAGTCAGTTTAGTTTCACGCTTGTCAAAAATGATCACTAAATCGCAAAAATGCAGTACGCTCGTTCAGCGGTTTTCTCAAGAAAATAGTCAGTGTCATGTAAAGTGTTATTAAGTAACTCTTGAATATTTGCCGGTAAACTATCATTAAATCAACAACATGGCAAGAGAATTAAGTTTTATTTGGATTTTGTTCGTATTTTAAAATTCCCTTTATTTTTCTCTTATTATCGATTTCTTCTTTTTCCCGTAATTTGCAAATTTTTGTTGCAAAGGTAAAAATCTGATCCATGGAAAATGCTGTAAATCGTTGCTGTAAACATATTAATATATATTAATATAATTGTTGAAACTTTTAAAAGAAATAAAGCATTTTATTTGAATCGAGTATTCATACAAACACAGCTAATTTTACTGTTTTTGGTTTTGACAGAGACGCAATAGATTTATACTCAAGCTCTAAGAGTACAAATCATCAAAACGCCATGTCTCTAGATAGCTTACTGCTCTCCATATTTCAATTTTTTACGAACAAAGCCCGAGATGCTGCAGCAGACAGGTTAGAAAACGGTGACGTTGGTAATGAAGGATTTCGCGAACTTATCAAGCGAGATTTACACGACATCAAAACAAAGCTAGATAATCTTTCGAAAATTGACCTTTCCTCCAGTTTGAACTACTTGGAGGAAGGATTTTGTCTATTTTTTAAATGCATTGACAGAATAGAAAGTGATAGAGAATGTGAAGAAGCAAGTAATAATGATGACTCTCAGGCAACTTGTACTGCCATCACCACCAGGTATGATCTTTCCCGTGTAATACAACATTCAAAGGTTTTTGAAATGGCAAAAAAACGATTTGAAGATTCCCGTAAGAAAGCAACGGATGTTTTCAACAACAAAAATTTAAGCTTGGAGGACAGAATTTTTGCCGTTTTTGTAAAGATCATGGCACAAATTTTTGAATGTCCGGAGCATCAGGAGATTGTCATTGATTTATGTTTATCTTATATAAAAAGGCTGAATGAATTGGACGGTGTTCGTAAAATGTTTTCTGTTTCTATTGGTGGTGGCATGAGAGCGATGTTCAAAAAATCTCAAAGAATGGAAAACATAAAGTCTGTCATTTTTCTCAACCATCATTTATATCAGTTCATTTCAAGGATCAACAACAATCATGATCATTTATCAACTTGGCCAAATATTGAACTTGGAGACGGAAAAATTTTTAATCCAATACAGGACTGGCGCAAGCAATTCGATGTCGAGTTTTGGTTTAAAAATATGATTGAATCTTCCGAAGAAATGGAAAAAATGAAAACCATGATGTTTGAACTTTTGGGCAAGATGACTAGAAATGAACATTTTGCTCCAACATTGACATCACCTGTTGAATTAGTTATAAATTTATTAAGAAGTGATATTTTGGTTACTCAAGGTCTCAGTGTTGAAATTTTTTCATGGAAGGAGAAGAAATGGTTTAAGATTGCATCAATGAAAAATGGACACTGGTTTGCTTCATCATTTATTTATAATGATAATTTATTTGTTGTTGGAGGATGGTGCTGCAAGTCAATGGAGACATTGAATATAAAACAGTTCCCTTTGAGATGGAGAAAATTTCCCACAGAGCTTCCTTATAATTGTAGGAGTCATCAAACTGTTGTTTGTAAACAACAAATCCTTTTTATTGGAGGATACATTCATGGTAAAGGACCATCAGATTTGATCAGTGAAATAAAGATTACAGGTACAACATCTCATGTTTTAAAAGAGTTGTGTCATATGCCTGAACCACGTTCGCACCATGGAGCTGTTGTTGTTGATGATAAAGTTCTTATTTTTGGAGGATATGGAAAAGATAGAAAAGTTTTGTCCAGTGTTTTGGAATTTGATCCAAGGACTCTAACATTTAAGGAAATGCCTCCATTACCTCATTTTCCATTGCATGAAATGGCAATAGTTCAATGGAGAGATCAAGTTGTTCTTCTTGGAGGTGATAATGGAATAAATGGTTTGAACAGTTTTATCATGTATGACAGCAAGACAGGTAAGATTACAGTCTTACCATCCATGTTGGAAAAGAGATGTGGGTGTTGTGCAGTTATAACTAGTGATACAATTGTTGTCATGGGAGGTAAGTATAATAAACGGGAAGATCTTAATTCAGTGGAGTGTTTCGAAATGGGAAGTAGTTCTTCATGGAAATATCTTCCTTCAATGAATGAATCACGATATGATGCCATTGCTGAAGTTTTACCTTTTGGGAAAAAGTATGTCTAAGACACAAAATTTCATTAAGTTATGGAACGTTATAACCCATCAATGTTCGTTTGGACTACATTGGATGATAAATTTGTAAAATTTAAAATGTATAGTTCAAAAATTAATATAATCATTAACTATTTTGATAAATTTCTGAAATAGGTGAACGACATTTTGTATCTAAATAAGTTTGAGTTTTTAGAGGATAGGTTATATCTTTTTTCTTGTCCTTGTTTCACTGCAGTTTATTGAACAATAAAATACAAGTTTTCCATGGTAAAAATTACTTTAGTTAAAATATTTTTAGTAGTAGTAAAATACTTTATTTCCCTGTTTACCATCTACCACATTTACAAAAATCTACTAATTGTCTTGCACATTTAAAATGTTGTGAAGACAATCAGTTTGTAATTTACTTCTCATTCGCGAACACAATCACTTTCTGCATTACTGAAGTAATAATATTTAAGCCTGGTTCACACGAGTAAAATAAGCACGAACGTCGAGACTTTTGTTTCTATTGCTCTAGACGTTTATAAAGACAAACAAATTGGGATTTTCTTTAAATCTTTTTTTGTTCTTCTTTTGTTCTTCACTTATTTTATGCTTGAATTTTTTATTGAGATTTCACCGCCATTTGAAAAGAAAGCAAAAGAAACAGTAGGTTTTACCCTGTATCCTACCACGTTTGGTAATCTTCAATAAATGTAGGTCCATTTGAGAAATAGCAGTTGAGTAAGATTTCCAACCTTTTTTGTGGATAAAACTTTAAAGATCAAATTTTCATACCTTACGCACTGCTTGTGTTTGTTCAACCATTATGTCTAGTGATGTATCTTTTATGCCATGCTTTCGGTCGGAAGATGAGTAGAAATTTCCCAATAAATAGTAAATATTCTATTTGGAGATGAGATAAATATTATTTCACAAACAATTAGCAATATTATGTTTTATTCGTTCATTTTCACGCTTTTATTCCGAGGTTCGTAATCGTAATACCGCAAAATCTCAAGATTTGTCTTGTAACCTAGCAACTGCCTTTTCTCGCACATTTTAATGCATACTCACGTGATTTCTCCACGTATTCCGCCTATCTTCAGAGGACGGACCATTGAGTTCTATAATAACTGGAGCGGCTATCTCTCAAAAGATGATTCAAGTTTGTTTTTGCGTTTGAATTTCGTATCAGAGTAATCATGTAGACGCATTTACATGAATTTTGAAAATTTTTGGCCAGAAGAATCATCGCAAAGGTAAGAAATAAGAATAAGCCATTTTATTTCAGATATATTTTTAAAGCTTGTAGTTTATTGTAACTTTTCATCAACAGTTCCAAACTATTCATAGCATGTCTGAGATTCAATTAGTGGCAAGCACAATCGTGCCGAATCAATTAAATTTTCCAGTTCATTTTACCTTGAATTAAAGTATTTATCATTCACACATTACTATATTTTGAAGCACTCATTTTAATTTCACAATTTGCACTGATACCATAACAATGATTTTGTTGCATGTCAAATAATATTGATAATAATTTTATCTGCATCTAAAATGTGTTGACAAGGTTATGGCAAAGTCAACATTAAAGCAACTTGCATGAAAAAATTGACCACATTGATCACAACCCAGGCAGTCTTCATTGTCATCCTCTCTGCATATTTTGCAAACAGCCACATTTCGCTTCCTAAGATATTCATAATGAATTCCATATAAAAATATTCAACCAAATGTTATTTATGCCTTACTGTGTGATATCATCATGGCAAGACCCAAGTAATGTTGAAAGGATTCTTTTTCTCTAAGTCTCCATGTTTGCTGGTTTTTGATCCAAGCCAAGGGCTAGACATCGAGCAAACTGATGCGAAATGAGCAGTTATTGAATAATCATGTTTGTAAAAATAGCTATTCAAGTAAAGTTAGGCTATTTGAAGCTTACCAAGCATATGTACACTCCACAGTTATACATATCTTCCTGTTTACAATGGAGTGGCTCAAAACATTGCCATGAGCTTGAGTTCCCACCTTTTTTGCATCTACCAAAGCACTAAAGCAGTGACAAACAATGACCACATGAATGATAATATTGATTGCTGAAAATGATTTTTGGGCAAATCTTTTAAGATCAAGTTTGATAATTACCTTAGTTTGTTTGTATGATACATCATCTGTGTATTAGGTGTCTTTTTGTCTGCACTTCCTCCAAGTGAGTCAAAGTAGAGTCTTGTTTTTGAGAACTTATCTATAGCCTATATCACACAAAATTACTGTTGCATTTAGTTAAAAATTTTCTCTTTGTTAATTAAGGAATTATATGAGTTAATGTTTCTATAGATACTAATTTTTGCATGTAAATCTGTGGACTCATGTGGGCTAAGTATGTGTATAATGCATGTCTATATTTTATTATTTAGCTCAAATACTTACCAGTAGTGTCCAATGAATGTTGATTGGAAAAAGGATAATTTTGGTTTGGTGAAAAGATGTATTAGCCTATGTGCATCTTGTGCTTGAGTTGTTCTTAACAATCTCTGAAATAAATGATTCTGCTGCAAGAACAATAGTGTAGTTTTCAGTCAAACTCCACAAAAAAGCGTCAATTATCTAAAGTCAAAAGAAAGCATAGTTTGAAGAGATTTCCTCTCCAGTTTTACGTGTACATATCACTCATGGTTATAAACAATTACTTATAATGATAAATAAGAAGACTATATTAGACGCTTTTTTCTCTTACAGAGTCAGTCAAAAAATAGTATAGTCATGTTAAGAGAACACTTCCTCACCGCAATGCGTCATTGCGGTAGGATGTAGGTAGAAACGGAATGGCAAAGTTGTGCGTCCTATGTAAACCCCTTAAACCACTTACGAATAATTATACATAAATATAACTTGCAAGCGTTGGTTTGGGAGTACGGAAAAATTGACGTTATTGGTGTATGAACTGGTCATACAAATTTGATAAATTAGAGTCGTATTGCAGAAGGCAATAAATTTTGAAAACGCAGTTCTAGGATTGACGGTTGTCCGTAAACTTAACGAGGTCAATTTAATTATTCCGTATCGCGAAGAACCAACGCTTAGAACGTAAAATCGTGCACAACACTGTAAATATCTTATTAAAGTGTTAAAATATTATATTCGACATACAGTCCCATCGTTAGTGTGAAGTTTCAGAACAGTGAACCAGCACTTCGCACAAATTGTGGGAAAACTAATATTTAATCTGGAAATTTAATTCAAAGATGATAAAGTTTCAATAGCATTATCTGGGTTCGGTGCAACCTCCTCACCTTCAGAGCCAACTTGTATGAAACTAATCTTCCAAAAACCTTGCATGACTGAGTTATTATTGAGAATATTTTTTATATTCCAGGTGATCCCACAGTTTTTGGGAACCTACCACCAAGTGAAGAATGTGTTTGGGCGCTCTGTGACGCAATAAAGTCAGGAAAGGACAACTGCTACTTATGGTTAGTTACATCAATTGCTTTGAGTGCTTCAATCACCACTGGACCCTAACCCCCCAGGGGAAATTTATCTTGAAAAATATCATTTAACAAAATTGGATTCCAAGAAGAATCTTCTAGCAAAATAATAGTGCATCCCCTCCGGAATCGATCTTCACAAATATCATTTAATGAAACTGGATTGTAAGCAGAATCTTCTAGCAAAATAATGATTCAAAATAGTTCTTGCCAATTCTTTTTTACTATGATAGCAATAGTTAGACTTTATTTTAACCTTTTGGAACAAATAAGTCCAGTTAAAGAACACTTTTTGCAAAAGATTGATTCTCTTTGTAATACAATGGGTGTATAAAATTCTTCAACATTTAGACATCAAAAAATATTCCAATTTTCTGAGGATGACTTTGGAATGAATTCAAAATCACAAGATGTTTACAACTTGCACTATTCAGGAGTAAATTATTCCCTAGGAGGCTGAACGCAATTTAAAGGAGTTTCGTGTTTAGGATTTGCATTGGACAGTAGCTGAAATTTGTGTAGTCTTCAAAGACTTTTTCAATATAGTCTACTAGTAAACAGTGTAAGTTCCTTTACTGTAACCAAACATGATAAATATTCGTTGTTCAGTGGCTACTTAAACCATTCGTAATGGAACTGATTGATAGTACCACGTAAAGTGGAATTTTGCTGCATTGCTCTAGCTTACATGACGTACAAATTTAGAATTTCTATTATGATTTGAAGAGTGTGGAAAGAATGGTATGATAATTGTCAGTGTTTGCTTCACAAATGAAAGGATTGCTGTTGTTTTGATACACACTGTGTGTGTTCCACTATTCCAGTTATATACAATCATCTGTATTTACTTCAAGAAGCTTTATTGATGTCTACGTTAACATGAAGGATTCCTTCTTATGAAGGCGGAAAAATCTAACTTTTTATCCTCTCCCCCCTTTCTGTCCCTCCACCAAGTTTTGGCATTCCATTGTATATTTCTTTAAAATACAACTCATTGACAACGGTCAACCAAAATGTGGCTGTTTTCTTGCGTTTCATCTTGTTATATCATTTGCAGTGAGTAATATTCTTAAGCAAAGATTTTTAATTTACACAGGGTTAAAGCATCCTTGTTGAATACACTTCTCTCACCACCCCACTCCCCCCTCCTCTCAATAAGTTTTCATTGAGAAACAAAGTTCATTAAAGATTTAAGTGTTTCAGTCTCACCATTTAAATTACCGGGGGGTGAATGCAAGTAACGTATGCACCTACATAAAGTGTCTTTCAAGGGGTAGGACACTTGAGAAAGCAGCGGTCTTAACCCTATTTCAACAAAATGAGAGATTCGGGGCTTTTTACGCAAATAATTTTTACTTCTATGTTTATGTTGCTTTCTTTACAGGATGTTGTGTTGGCCAGCGGTTGCTCTGGAGCAATCGAGATGGCATTGAACGCCCTGGTTGATCGTGGTGATAACATCTTAATTCCAAGACCTGGTTTCTCTCTTTACAAATGCATCTGTGGATCGAGGGGGATTGAAGCACGATCTTATAAGCTCTTTGTAAGTTTGTACAAATTAAAGATATTACGTTTACGTTACTGCTTACGACTAAAGACTGTTTTTATTGTGTGCTAATTATGATAATGGAGATTAAAGACTGTTCTAATTTTGTTCTAATTATGATAATAAAGATTAAAGACTGTTATAATTATATTATAATTATGATAATGAAGATTAAAGACTGTTCTAATTATATTCTAATTGTGATACAGGAGATTAAAGACTGTTCTAATTATGTACTTAACTGAAATAAAAGATTGAATAGTTCGAAAGATTCCCATAAAACTATCTTCGAGTCTTGCTTTGGACTTTATGTTCAAATAAATAATGATTATTCATAATTTTCAGCCTGAAAATGGTTGGGAAGTCGACTTGGACGATATGGCTTCACTTATTGACGAGAGAACAAAGCTTATTGTCGTTGTCAACCCATCAAATCCCTGTGGTTCTGTGTACAAAAGAGAACATTTGGAAGAAATTTTAAACAGTAAATATCTCAAGACATGTACAAGTTTTTTCCGCCGATTTGACCAACAAACTTCGTGCATTCATATTGGTCTTATTTTCTTACAGTTGCTGAAAAATACCGCGTCCCAGTTCTCTGTGATGAAGTTTACGCGCATGTCGTAAGTGTTTGTTAATTGCATGTCACGTGACGACTTTTGAATTTCCCGATGCCCTAAATTTGACCGACTTTAAATACGTTCATGTTTCAACTAATGTAAGGTCATCACGATTGTAATATTCGCTTAGACATAAACGCTTCAAATTTGTGCAACCTGAAGTTGGGCTTGGTCTGGTTATGAGTGAGACAAGCCGCCATCTTGAAAGGTGGCAAAACTTACAAGATTTACGACCAATATCTGCTTTTCTTGATTTCATATACAGTTGCAAATTTGACAGTCGAGGTTTGGTTTTTTAATTAATTGTTTGGAATGGGTTTTGAGACATCTTTGAAGATGGCGTCCTTGCCTCACGTCGACACGGTTGTTAGACATGCAGGGGGTTGGGTTCTAAATTTTATTGATACTGCCCGAGAAGGTGATCAGGCTTGGCAACACTGAATAAGGGTTGAACTAAATTAACTTTTTCTCACATTTCCTGCAGACATTCGGCAAAGAGCCTTTCCATAACATGGGAAGTTTAACAAAAAATGTTCCTGTTCTAGTTGTCGGTGGCATCACGAAAAGGTGAGCATGCGCATTTCTATTGCATTACGTCATTTTGAGGAAACCATATAAACGTTGTGTGTCAATGACAGGTTCTTGGTGCCAGGCCGGCGTATCGGATGGATTGTAATTCACGACAGAAATGATTCCTTTGGTTTTAAGGTATGAATATATCGCTTGCAAAGATCTCATAATACACTAGATAGTGCAACGGCTTTCATTTACTAAGTAGTGGTTGAAGCCGGGCAAATTTACTTCCGGAGCCCCAAAGTAGTGAGAATCAATATGGCGTTGTATTAGAAAATATATGGTCAAAGCTGATATCTTGCAATTACTTGCAAGTCACGACGGTTACATAAACTGGTTTACTCTATTAATGAAAAAAATCATTGTGACCATAGTTTTTTAAGAAAAAGATCGCAGAATACGCCAATACATCGCCGTAAAATTGATTTCAAGTGTAGCTCGATTTGAAAGCATCAGCAGCAACGAATGCTTAAGATACTGGACTTACACATCTAAATATCGTATCACAGCACAATCTGCCACAAAATGTTCAATCGAACGTCGTGGAATTATCTTCCGATATTTATTGTTAAGTAAAACGAGTTGGAGATTACAGTTTGAAAGATTTTTCACGATTTATATAAACTATTAAATGATTTTAGCTAATGAAATGGTAGTTTTTACAATGTTTTTAACCAGATAATTATTGCTAAAATATAATGAAACAAGTCATAAACATTATAGAGATCAACTTGTTGAATTGGCGCGAAAGATAGACATATACATATTTCGTACTTTAGTCTGAGGTTTGCAAAATATCAAAGCTAATAACATATAGTGCAAAAAAGGATTATAGATCTTTATAAATGCCAAACAATCGTGGCACTCAATGCTGCGCATATGGCTGTACAAAACGCAAGAAAAAAATGAATGAGGAAGACGACGAGCTCAATCGGAGCAGTAGCGAAGGGCCATCTGACGACGAAACCTCCATTAAAAGACAGTTTCCACGGACGTTTCATCGCTAAGCTCTTTAACGTTCACATGAATAGCACTGACAAAGTAAATTTTTGGGAGGGCAAAAGGGCAATTACTTAATTATCTTTCTGATCTTAATTACCTTATATGCACACAAATTTACTAAGAATAATTGTAATGAGAGAGGTTGTCCCCACACCTCCCTACAACGGTGTTTATGCATGTAGTGCACTTTTTTCTACATTTGTACTTGATAAACGGTAAAAATAGCCACGATTTTTTTACTTTTTACAAGATTCCCTGCTGATCTTGAAAGAAGAAAGGTATGAATTAAAAATATACACAGAGAACGTTGGACACCTAGCGCGACAAGCAGGCTGTGTTCAGATCACTTTCTGGAAAGCTGTTTTGACAGATCTGAAAAAGTTGTTAAGTTTCGAAAAGATGCTGTTCCAACTCGTTTTAAGCTCTTTCCACAACATATGAAGAAGGTGAATAACAATTAAAGAAATATTTAGGATAATAGTTTTTAGAAACAAAGATTGGTAAAAAATGATTATTTAAAAGCTGCATAACTATATACATGTAATTGTTCACACTGAGTTGCACACTGTAGCTAAAATTAGTTCTGCCTGCTACACGATATGCATCGTACATCAACATGATAAAACCAATTAAGATCAGTTCGACTGTCTGCAAGATCAAAAATTTTACCAACGTATTCAGAAAACATTTAAATCTGTTAGACCACCACGACGAGAAAGCGACCTCTAATTAGGACTGTCGAGAGTGACGATGACGATCCTCCTGAGAAGAAGACAATGGTTGACGACCATGAAATAGAAGAAATGAAGAATATTTATCAGCAAAAGGTTTCAAACCTTAAAAAGAAACTTAAGTCGACCCAAGAAAAAGCAAGACGCCTTAACAAAAAGGTTACCTCACTGACGTCAGTTATAAAGCATCTAAAACAAAAGAATCTGATTTCCTCGTCTTGCGAAGAAATGTTGGAAAGAAATATAGCTGGTGTTTCAACAGAGCTATACAAAAAAATGATGTCAAAGACACGCTAAGGAAGCAAGTACTCACCACAACTTAAGTCATTTGCATTAACTCTTCAGTTTTATTCGTCGAAAGCTTACGATAATGATATACGAAATATATTAAACACTTCACGTATTGGGAAAAAAAGGCAGAGGAAGATCAATTAAATTTGCAAATAAACTGCGATGAATGGAGTGAAGCTTTCCCAAAAGATTTTATATTTTGTCAGGTAACGTCAAAGTTAAACTTTTAAAGGGTAAGGTATTGTGGAAAATATCAACCCTGCATGGGTTTAAAAAACGATATCAACAGTTTCACAACTATTTTTCCTTTAAATGCCTCTGTTTCAAATAAACTACGCTGACATGTACTTATTCTCTTGTTTTTTTTAGCTTTTGAAAGAAAATGGCCTGGAGAAGAGGAAGTTCTTTTCGTATATCAGTCTTGTTGGATGAAGCGCTTATTATTGCGTTATGGGAACGAAATGTGTTTAATGGATGCCACTTATCACACAAAATACCTTATTTTCTTGACACTTGGAAAGTTAATGTTTTAAAGTTTTCCAATTCGCATCTTTTGAGGTATGCACTACCGTTGTTTTTCTTATGTGTCCGATCAAATGTTTGTTACATCGTTGTTGCTGTCTTCATATCCCAAAATGAGGACTTGGATTCCATATCAGAAGTCCTGAACATCATCAGTCAAGAGAATCCACTGTGGAAACCTAAAAACATAATGGTTGATTTTTATTAGCTGAAATTGGAGCAATCAAACAATGTTTTCCAAGTAAGACGGAACAAAGCAATAGCCTTTTTTGAAGAAAATGTTTTTGACGAGCTTACTTACTTAATGAGTGGGTTTTTTTTGGTTAGAAACACACATTCATGTTTGCGATTTTCATCGAGAGAAGGCGTGGAACGAATGGATTAATAAGCGCAGTAATGGAACGTATCTTTACAAACATGAGCTATTGCAAATAGCACAAGTCAAATCGCATTACAGAAAAACATTGATGCATTGAAAAACAGCCATACAAACAACGGAGTGGAAAGGCAAAATAACTGGTTAAAGCATTCATATTTAGAGGACAGACGAAATCATTCGATAAGTGATCTCGTCAATATATTACTAACACAGTTCCTGCCTGATAGCTACAAAAAGTATTGTGCATACTGTTTTTGGTTATTTTATATTTTAGTGGTTTGTCACAGCTTATTAGGTAATTACCAATGGTAATTACATATACATGAGTATTCGTCAATTGTTACTTACCGCTGACATGTTAAGAATAATATATGGGCGCGTACATTAGTTGACCATGATCTAGTGCCGACCTGTGAGATCGGGGTCGGATTCAACGTCAGGAAGTGAGAAAAGGTATGAGATGTAGTTGGTGTCTGGACAAATGAGTAAATGTTGTGAGATAGCACTAGAATTATTGTAATTAGTGGCATGTTGGGTTAGTCTTGTGTGTAGGTTTCGTTCAGTTTTGCCTACACACAAGACTACAAACAAGACTAACCTACACACAAGACTAACCCTAAGTTTCGCAGCCTGCATTGAAAAACTATTAGTCTGATGATGTCATTGGAATAAAGACGAAATATTACACCATCTTTTGTTTCAAACTTTTGTATTATCTTGAATATAAAGGAAACGAGATGTCCCTTATTGGAATTTGTTTTATTTTGTATTACTTGAAATTGTCTGCTTGTCCTGGTCATTTGTCGTAAATAATGTTTCCATAATTTCGTAAAAGCACTATTGCTAATGCGCATTTAATATACACGACGACTTTTTTTAGAATAGACATGTTTCGACATCTCATGATGCCATCTTCTGAAGAAACAAACCCTTATACCAAGTCATCGTAATCACCTTTTTAGGATTAGATGGGATAAAGGCCTTTCTCTAATCTCTAAGTTAACACTGTCCTCACACAAGCTCTACAATTAAAAGTCGGGGAGCTTACATGCTTTAGTTTGATGTTCATTTATCAATCATTTTGTTTTTATGTCCAGAATATTGTTATTTGTCATTGGCCATTTTTATATTAGAGACGCTTAATGCGTCTGGACGAACTTGGGCAAGAAATTTTTGTTTGTCTGGTTATGCGTCTTCAGTGTAAAGACGGACACAAGACGCATTATACGTCACGACGAATAATTATCAATGGTGATTCGTGTCTGTAGACAAAGAATCGAACATAGTTCGTCTAGTCGTATAATGCGTCAGTCTGTATAAAGACGGCACTTAAACGAATAACTCAATAAAGTGAGAGAGATTATTCCCAAAATCAATAAGATTTTCTCGTAATTTTCAAGTTGTTCGTCTGATACTTTATTGTGCTTACAATTTGTTAACATTACACAGCAATTGATCGCAAACCTTTCTGGTAAGCTTGTGCTTTGAAAGTATGTCACATGTCTATGGATGATAGCATTCTTCAGACCAATGGAGTTGGTATAATAGTTAATTCATATTACAACTTTAAAACGTAGATCTATAAAACAATAGAAAAAGATTATTTATCTTGGTTATAAATCAGCTATTTCTATTTATGCAAGTGACTCGTAAAATGTACTTACAACCAAACATTGTGTACATCAAACATACTCTATATTGTTCAATGAATAATCAGTAATAGCATTCTTTTTCACATGACTTTCTTCGTTGCTAAGATTATTTAACTGTAGATAACCCTTGCTTTTCTCTGTAGTGCAAATATAATCAAGTAGAAATTTCTTCTCGCCAGGCTTTCTCGATTGTTTAATTTCATCTTGACATGACTTTTGTACTTATGTTTCGCAGACCGGTGAGAGATGACGTCATATCATGATGCATCTTCCAGATTAAGAGATCGATAAGGCAGTTCGTTCTTCGCCTTAGCACAATCAAGATTCAAAATGAATTCTCAAAGCTACAATACATTTTTATAAAAAAACGAAAAACTGACATCGTTGTTGCCGGCGCCAAGCAATAAAAAATAAATATTAAAGCATCCTGAAACGAAAAATATAAAAATCAGATTTAATGATTAGGATTTCAACTTTTAAGTCCGAACGCTATTTTTAAGTATGTCTGATCATTGAGATGAGACAAAATTAACCTTATTATCTAGTATCAGTCATCAAATATCTTTATTGGAAAAGTTGTCGTTCATAATCTTAATTTGTTTGAGCTATCTTATTGGTAAAAATGGTATTACATATTTTGTCTGGCTGCCTCAACTTTGCGTTTATTAATAGTTTAGTTTTCCAGAACATTTCACCAATTCAAATAAATGTATGTAAGCTGTGAATAAGGTGTATATATAAACTGTGTATTGATTTTCTTAACTTCCTAAATTATAAATCTTTAATTTTTGAGCTATCTTACTTGTAAAAGGCTGGCTGCCCGTCTTCCTTTATGGTTATTTTAGTTAGTTTGTATGTAAGCCAGGATGTTCAATAATTGAAATAAATAATAGTAAATTGTAAATGGTGTGTTGGCATAAAGCTTCCAAGTCAAAACTTCTTTGTGTTTAATTCAGTCATAGCTAAAATAAGAAACTTGCATTTCATATTCTATTGGGTGTGAACAGAATTCAATATTTTACAATAAAAACAGCAGGTGATTAAATTCAGGCATTTATTTAACATTCCAATTTCTTTATTATCAAGCAAAAGCAAACACATCAAGTAGTTGGTTCCGTCGTTATTAATCTTTCTGAATTTGTGAAGGTATGTTGACTATATAGTTCACCCATCATAGTGTTATTGTTTGTTCTTATGTCTAGAATTTTGTTATATTTGTCACAAAAAACATGAATGTCATATTCGTGATGGAATTCACACTTCATATGTTTTATATTGATACGTCTGTTGATTTTGGTGGCATTTTCCCAATAACACATTGGATAATTTTTCATTTCAAAATACTGACCTTTCTTGCGTTGTCACCAACAATTAATTTCATTAGTCTTTTCAAATATCATTGGTACGGCAGGGCTAAAAATTAACAAGATGAATAAAAATTATGACACGTCACAGAATTTCAGTTATGCATACATTATGTGAAATAATTTTAATTTTATCTAACATGGCTTTTATAAAGAAGAATTTTTTCCTCATTCATATAGTCCTCTATCTTTTCGTCTTATTCCTAACACAGATGACGACATAAAAACGTTTTACTAAGTATGTCTTTAGAAATTGCGCCTACTTTGGATGAAAAGCTCATTTGTTCACGTGATAGTACACGTGATTTTTTTTGGTCTATAATTGTTCAACTTGTTGTAAGATAGACTATTTAAAATATTTGTTTGCGTCAAAAGTTCATAAAATTGACAAAACTTTGCATGATGAACTGTCAAGTCCAAACGCTATCAATTTTGAATTATCTCTGATTATTGAGATGTGACAAAATTATTCTAAATTAGAGACTTCGAGATCAATTACTCTGATATTCCCATTTTAAATAAAGACTGCCCCTAAAATCTCGAGCCCCAAAACTTTTACTTGCTTCTCACGCCCCTGATCAGATTATTTGTTTATCTTGTAAAAAGTTTACTAAATGACAAAACTTCATTAACCACGTTTCAAAGTTGGAACGCTGACAATTTTAAAGAAGCTCTGTTTATTGATTTTCTTAACTTCCTAAATTATAAATCTTTAATTTTTGAGCTATCTTAATGGTAAAAGGCTGGCTGCACCTTCTTTCTTTAAGATTATTTCAGTTAGTTTGTGTGTAAGCCAAGATGTTCAATAATTGAACTAAATAATAGTTAATTGTGAAAGGTTTGTTGGCATAAAGCTTCCAAGTCAAAACTTCATTGTGTCTACTTCAGTCATAGCTAAAATAAGAAACTTGCATTTCATATTCTATTGGGTGTGAATTCAATATTTTACAAAAAAACAGCAGGTGATTAACTTCAAGCATTTATTTAACATTCCAATTTCTTTATTATCAAGCAAAAGCAAACACATCATATGGTTGGTTCCATTGTTATTAATCTTTCTAAATTGGTGAACGTATGTTGATTTTAAAAATTACGTAACAGTATATTTTAACCTTCTGATTTAATGTTTTGTGTCCATGTATCAATTGTTTTGTTTTGATATCACGAATATTTTAGCTAAATATAACTTATAAATTAGTGCCACGTATGTTTCATATGGATAAAATTTCTTCATTTTGGTGAAGATTTCAAACACAAATAAATTTTGGATACATTACACGAGGGAAATACGACCTTTTTCACATCAATACCAATTTACTCTATCGTTTATTTCAAATTATATTGATACAGCAAAGTTACAAAATTAAAGTGTTGAGTCAAAATTATGACATGTCACAGAATTTCAGTTATGCATATCATTATGTGCAATAATTTTAATTTTATATAACATGACTTTTATAAAGAAGAGTTTTCCTCATTCATTGAAATTTGAATGATGTGCTATGGAAGTTTAAACATATAAGATTCTGTCGCGTTCTTTTCTAGAATACTGCTTTAGTAAAAGTGACTAATTAATATCTCACATAGTGAATTAAATTGAACCTATTGAACATTCTTAGACGCAGCATTAACATTCAAATTTTTGGTGACCTTTTTAATTATGTTACCGTCAATGACTGACAAAGCCATTTTAAGGTTTTTGTATATCGTAATATGCTAGTTTGGAAATCTTTGCACCGTATGATTTTGTTACTACAAAACCGATGACCATCTTTCTTGTAAAAATTTACTCACTATTTATTAAAAAAAGAGTTGTCAAAAATGAGAACGGCAAGGTTAGTACTCCAGTCCATTATGAAGTTCAATAAACCACAATCCCCTGCCTTTTTTGCGCACTCTTTTAGTCATACTAAAATTTAGCTAATAAATGGCCATAATTTTTCTACTGCCAGGCAATTTTGATCACATTTTTGTAATGCTGGAAAATACAAAAACCGATTCAGTCGAAAAAACACTGTCCTAAACAAGTTCTCATTTTCTCTCATTCTTTAGAAAAAGCCAAGTTTATTACTGAGCCATATTAATTAGCTATGTCGAGAGTTTATATCCTTTTTAACTTACTTAGTCACGTGTTTCTTCCTTTCGTGACACCCGCGCGTGAATGAAGTATAGAAGAGATTTTATTGATTCTTGGACTAGGCGTTGCTCATTATCATACGCGTAAATTTCGCTAATTTGCTTAAAACCGTTTTCCGCTGTCGTACTTATTTCAATTATTCAATCTGTGATTGCAATGAAGGGCGAATTCGGTTTTTTTCACTTTTCATTATTTCTGTTACAACAAGAAGATTGAAAGAGGTCTGTGTTTGGCGAGCAACTTCAGACACCAATAATCCATAAATACAAAGACAAACAGATATTTGAGGAAGGTGAATGAAATTGTTTCTTATGATTTAATTCTTATGTCGGCATATAAATTTTCAATCAATAATATAGATTCGCTATTTTTCCTTATTGTGAAAAACCAACATTATAAAGACTAAACGCAATATGACAAGTATATACTAAAGCAAATTTGTGACACGAAATTTTCTTTAATTGAGCAATTTTTAATTACTTAACGTATTTGGTCAGAGCAAATTGTTGTTTCTCTTCCTTATTTGTTCATTATGACTATTTTATCAACATTATTAGTTTAAAGGGAATTGTTTGAACCCAGAAGTATCGTTGCATGTTTGTAGATGTACATTGTTTAGGTTAGTAGAGTCCTGAGAAAGACTGCTGGTGTTGATGTTGAATGACGTTTCGACAACATTAGCGGTTGTCATCTTTAGAACGAGTCAAGTGAGCAGTCAGGTTAACGGTATTTGTTGTCTTGTTCATACGTGTCGTATTGTCTGTAAATGAAATGTGTGGGTGTCAATTGTGTATTGTCATCATGAAAGTAATGTTTGAGATTGTGAATAAATTGTTTTCGTAAAGTGCCGGTTGTTGTTGAGATCTGTTCAGTGGATTTGTTCTAAGTTGGTATAACAACTTTCTAATGTAAGCCCTCCATTGTCTGTAGTCAGTGCTGTAAGTAATGCATTTTACCGACTCGTAATGAATGCTGTGTTTTGTCAGTTGGTGATGTTCTGCACTGTGATTAGTTTTGTCTTGTTTCTTTGTTCCTTGTTTGTGTTAAGTAAGTCTTATGTTTAAGTTCCTGTCAGTCACACCGATGTAGAGGACGTGGAAATCGGAGCAGTTTATTTTGCAAACTACACCTTAGCTCTCGTTTGATTGTTCTTTGTCTTTGACGTTTGTTAGTACTTGTCATAGTGCTGTGATTGGTTTATGTACAACACGTATGTTGTATGGTCGTAAAGATACGCGCGATAGACTCAGACGTAACTTTGATATAAGGTATCATTGCTGCTGTTGTTGTTGTGGTGTTCGTTTCGTTGGGCTCATTCTGTTTGTAAGTGTTGCGTTTGATAAAGTCAAAGAAACTATAGTCCCCTACTCACCCTATGTCATACTGCAATAACCCACTCACCCTATATGTCACTCTTTAGTTCCCCACTCATTCTATGTCACTCTGTAGTCACCCACTTACCCTATGTCATACTTATTCGTATTGCGATATATTTCAGCAGAGAAAACACTCAAAACATAAAAGTATTACGATATTTTTATTACGATAGAAGGAAAGAGCAACGAAGGTTGTGCGAACGTACACATGCGCCCATGATATAACCTTAAACATAGTTAATACTTCATAACAACGTAATAAAGAATGTTGAGTGTAATTTACAACACTCCCACTCACTCAATATGTCGTAATGTTTATGCAAGTCCCAGTTTGCATCGCAGCTATTCAAATTGTTCTCTTGGTAATGGGTTAGTAAAAATATCTGCCATAATTTCCTTGGTTGGACAGTACTTTATTTCGAGTGTTCCATCTTGAACTTTCTCGCGCACGAAATGGTGTTTAATATCAATGTGCTTTGTCCGCTTCTGTAGTACTGGATTCTTTGAGGTAGCGATTGTACCTTGATTATCTTCATGTATGTTCTTAGCGGCAGTACAATCCATTTGTATGTCTTTCATCAGTTGTCGCAGCCATACTAATACTTGGGTTGAATAACATAACGCAATGTACTCCGATTCCGACGTTGAAAGAGCCACTGTTGGTTGTTTCTCGCTTGCCCAAATGATTGCACCACATGACATTAAAAACATATTTCCATAAGTTGACCGTCGATCGTCTGTGTCTGAGGACCAGTCTGCATCAGAGTATCCCTCTAAATCGACACTGGTTTTTTCGTACTGCAGGCTTAGTTTACAAGTTTCTTTCAAGTAACGAAAGATACGTTTTACAGCTGTAAGATGTGCTTCGTTCGGTGCTGTGTTTAATTTAGCCAATGTTGTTACTGCTGGAGCTATATCTGGACGGGTAGCAATTGCCGCTTATATCAAATTTCCTACCATTGACTGATCGTGAGAGGCATCGAATGATGTGCTATGTCTATCTTCTTTAAAATGTTTGACGCTTACATCCATTGGCGTAGACACTGTCTTGCAGTCTTGTAATTTATACTTTTTCAGAATCTTGTTGATGTAATGCTCCTGATTGATTTGTAACACACCGTTCTTTATAGTAATACTAACTCCTAGGAAGTAGTGGAGTACAACCATATCTTTCATTTTGATTTGGTTTGCCAAGTTGGCCTTCAGATCATTCATCTCTTCTTCAGTTTTAGTCAAAAGTATGAGGTCATCAACGTCAACAATGATAATCGCCAGCTTATTGTTGAGAAAACGAATAAGTACGCAAGGGTCTGCTTCACTCTGAACAAATCCTAATGATAACATAAACTCTCTGAAAACCTTATTCCAGCAACGTGGACTTTGCTTTAGACCATAAAGCGATTTCTTGAGACGACACACTAGCTTTTCTTTTCCTGGTTTTACGTAGCCTTCGTGTTGTTTATTGCATATTTCCTCTTCCAATGTTCCATTGAGGAATGCCGTTACTACATCCATTTGACGGATCAACATTCCTCGAGATACACCAAAAGCCAGAAGAGTGCGAATTGACGAAAAACGAGCCACTGGAGAGAATGTCTCTTCAAAGTCAATTCCATATTTTTGAAGAAAATCCTTAGCCACCAGACGACTTTTAAATCTCTCTACCTTTCCTGTTTCATTGCGTTTAACTTTAAAGACCCACGTGAAACTGATAGGTTTACGTTCAGCTGGTAAT